TTGTTTTTTTGTTGGGGTTGGGATTTCTGGGGTTGAGAGCTCTGGAGGACGGCAGCGCGGTTTTTCAAGTTTTCCATTGGAGGATGTGAGGTTCCAGAAATCTTGTACATCCCCATGAAGGCACAGTGCTGCTGGAGTTCGCATACCAGAAATCCCAAACATCCCAGTGACCTCACAGGGCTGTGCACCCATTATTTCGCAAACCTGGTGATTTCACCAGGTCCCTGCTCCCTCTAGTCTCTCTCTCCCTCTCTCTTTCTCGCTCTCTCTATCTCCCTGCCCTTATGCCTCATCGGATAAGAAAGGCGAGGAGCAGGAGGAGGAGGAGGAGGTGGTGGAGGAGGGTTTCCTCCTTTTCTCTTCTGAAGAGGCAGAGAGGCAGAGAGACAGATAATACATATCTATCGATGTATATGAGAGAGAGGGAGAGAGAGAGAGAGAGAGATACAGATAGAGAGAGAGAGAGAGAGATAGAGAGAGAGAGAGAGAAAGAGAGAGCGAGAGAGAAACAGAGAGGGGGAGAGAAGAGAGAACGAGAGAGAGAGAGAGAGAGAGAGCGAGAACGAACGATACTTTAGGGAGCGGCGCTCGCTGTGGAATCACATGGTTTGCGAAGTACTAGGGCGCCATAGGGCGCCAAACCCTGAGATACCACTTTGATGTTTTGGGCATTCTGGTTTGACCCTGCACTTTCATTTGGATGTGCATGTTTTTGTATGTTTTTTTTTGGGGGGGGGGGTCTGGGGTATCAGAGCTCTGAAAGGCTGCAGCGGCGAGGATTTTCATCGGAGGATGTCGGATCCGAGAACCCCACACCTACATAAAGTCACATGGTGCCTTGGGCTCTCATGTCAGGAATTCCAGAAACATCGCAGTTCACTCGCAGGGTTTGGTGCCCCTCTTGCAGTACTGCGCACGCCTGGCAATCTCACAGGGATCCCCTGCTCCCTCGAGTCTCTCTCTCTCTCTCTCTCTTTGGCCCTCTGCCTCTCCGCCTCGAATGGGGGAGAGGCAGACGATGCAGAGGAGAAGGAGGAGGAGACGAACACAACGGAAGGAGGAGGGGGAGGAGCAAGCGCAGCAGGAGGGTCCTCAGTCGCAGGAAGAGGAGGAGGAGGAGGAGGAGGATGAGAAGTAACAGGCAGAGGAGGAGCAGCAGGAGCAGAACGAGAACGCACAATAGCAGGAACAGGGGAGGAGGATGGAGGAGGAGGAGGAGGAGGAGGAGGGGGAGGAGGAGGAGGAGGAGGAGGATTGGAGGAGGAGGAGAGTAGGAGGAGGAGGAAGGAGGAGGAGGATGGGGGAGGAGGAGGTAGGAGGAGGAGGGAGGAGGAGGAGGAGGAGGAGCAGGAGGAGGATAAAGTTTCGAACGAAGATGCTGGGGCGGGGGGCTGCTATAGATATACGTATGTATGTATGTCTGTATGTATGTATGTATGCCTGTATGTCTGTATGTCTGTATGTCTGTATGTCTGTATGTTTGTATGTCTGTATGTCTGTATGTCTGTATGTCTGTATGTATGTATGTATGTATGTATGTATGTATGTATGTATGTATGTATGTGTGTGTGTGTATGTATGTATGTATGTATGTATGTATGTATGTATGTATGTATGTATGTATGTATGCATGCATGTATGTATGTATGTTGTTTTATGTAGGATGGATTTGTATGTAGGTATATAAGTATTTGTATTGGATGTAGTTATGTATGTTATGTATGTTTGTATGTATGTATGTATGTGTTAATTTGGGGGGTGTGTGTATGTATGTATGTATGTATGTATGTATGTATGTATGCATGCATGCATGCATGCATGCATGCATGCATGCATGTATGTATGTATGTATGTATGTATGTATGTATATATGTGTGTATGTATATAGTTATGCATTTACATATGTATATCCGTAGGGCTTCGCCCCCTGCCGCCGGCCCCCCTCTCTTAAAGGGGACTTGCCAGAGCTGTGTTGGGATGTCTGGGCGCTGACGTGAAGCACTGTCGGGACTTGCGCAATTTTTAAGGAGTTGCTGCCTCGGGGGCGCAACTCTTTTGTAATTTACGAATGCTTATGGCGTCGGGGACGCAACTATTGCATACTTTACTAAGGTTTATGGCCTCGGGGACGCGAACCCTGCGTAACTTACTCGAACGTTCATGGCGTCGGGGACGCAACCATTGCGTAATTTTCGAGGCTTTATGGCCTCGGGGACGCACATACCGTGTAATTTACAAGGGGTTACGGTTTCGGGGACGCGAGCACCATGTAATTTACGAGGGTTGATGGCCTCGGGGACGCGAACGCACATACCGTGTAATTTACAAGGGGTTACGGTTTCGGGGACGCGAGCACCATGTAATTTACGAGGGTTGATGGCCTCGGGGACGCGAATATGGCGTAGCTTACTAGGGATTCTGGCCTCGGGGACGCGAATATCATTTATTTTTACGTGTCCCACGCCCCCCCCAGGAATTCAGACAACGCGATCTGGGCGTGGTAGAAAGGCTTTTGGGGCTCCCCCCCTCGCGCGTTCAGTAACAAATTGCAGTAGGAAGCAGAAAGCATGACTGTAACATTGGAGACTTGAAGCTGGAACTGGTGCAGGGAGCGTGCATTCCTAATCTTCGCAGCCTGATGGCCCCGCAAGGGGGCTGGCGGATACACACACATACACACACATATACATGTATACATATATGTATATCCGTATCCATTTTGGCTCAAGTGCCAACAGCGGCAAGCAGGTTTGCCAGGCGGTCCCGCCCGTTGTGTGGTCCTGCGCCATTGTGGCATCTTGAGTTGATTGTAAGTCTACACCAGCTTGCACTCTCTAACGCATCACGCTCTTAGCTTTCTGTCACGTAGCCGTGGGACGGCATGTCGACATGGAGCTCATGGGGTCGGCGTGGGGCTTCGGCGAGTGCTCTACCCCCAACTTCTCCGTCTACGAACGAGTGGGAACGCGATCCAAGCGGCGCCTGGCACTACATTGGCGGCCGCCGGCAACTCCATCAGCCCTCACAGCTTGGGCGTTGCGTAATGGGGGGGTCATACATGGGGGGGTGGCGAGAGTGGTCCGAAAAGGTACCCAAACGGTACCTAAACGAGCCCCCTGGGGCTCCGGAGGGGCCCGAAAGGGGCACGAAAGGGGACCGTTTCTGACCCCCCCATTTATGACCCCCCCATTAAGCCACGCCCAAACAGCGGCCCTGGTCATGCTCGCACTGTGGGTCCTGCAACCGCAGCAAGCATGCGTGCGGCATGTGCGGCATGAAGTGCACGTGGGCCGAGGCTGTGGTCAATTCCCCGACATCTACGACAGCCTCTGCGGCGCCTCCCACTACGAGGGTGCCTCAGAATCACGTGCAGGCCCAGCTGATGCGGTCGCGGCCAAGCTCTCGCAGAGTGCTGGCCTCTCGCCTGTGACCGCACCTGTGCCCGAAGCTGCTTCCTCCCCGCCGCCTGCACCGCCGGCAGCCGTGGCAGGCGCAGCCGACGGGACTGCGGCTGAGGGCGAGCCGCCTGCCAAGAAGGATATTGTCGCTGCTGTCAAGCAGCTCGAGTCGGCGCTGGCGGCCATGTCAGACGATCCCGAGCTGCACGAGGCGCGCCAGGCTATCCAGGCGCGCCTGGACGCCAAGAAAAAACAGCTCGGGGACTTAAAGCCAGTCGGGAAGAGACTGGGCGACACCCGGGCCGCCCTGGAGCGCGCCTACAAACGCCAGTCTGCAGCAGCGGACGGCCTGGCGCTGGCGCAGAAGGCTGTCGAGGCGGCGGCCGACGAGGTGACGTCTCTCAAGAAGGCCGTTCAGGAGCTGGAGCAGCAGGTGGCGTCTGCGCACGCTGCGCCCCAGCCCGCCCCGATGGACGATGGCGACCCGCTCGGCCTCCCCAAGCAGCAGCTCAACGCTGCTGTGCAGGCTCTGAGCCAGTGCTCCTGCGTGTCTCCCGAGGCGGTCCAGGAGGCGCAGAGGCAGTCGGAGGACATATCCGCCAAGTTCCAGGTCACCCTCGAGCATGCCCCGGCGCAGCCTGCGCCACGACGTGCTGTGGGCAAGCAGAGGCCTCCACGACTCCGCGAGCGGCTCAACGGCGAACAGCCTGCCAAGCGGTACATCACGGAGCCCTTCACCAACCGGCTCCGCTTCGGCCTGCCCCGAACTAGATCTTTTTCCTCCAGTAGGGGGCCACATGCGAACCCTACCCCTACCCCCCACGATTTCTGATGGGGGGGGTGGGGTTCACTCCGTTCGGGAGCTCTCGAGCGAGGTGAACCCCACCCTCCCCCTCAGAAATCGTGGGGGGTAGGGGTAGGGTTCGCATGTGGCCCCCTATCCAGCCCAGGCGCGGGGTCGGCGCAGGTATAGCAGCCTGCACTGACGACCCTGCAGAGCAGCCTGGGTTGCAGGGTCACAGCGGGGGCGGAGGTGATAATGCTGCCCTTGCAGATGTCACGTTTCAGATCGCTCCTGCGAACGTGCAGACACTCCAGCTTCACCGTGAAGCTCGCTCTTATGCCAAGATCGCCACAGGGATTCTTGTCCCCAAGGTGCAGCTGTTGGAGATGGACTTTCACTCTGCTCGTCTTGATGTGATTGGGGTGCAGGAAGGCCGATCCAGCACTGCGTGTGAACGCAATGGCCTGCACTATCGCATGTACCCGGCTGCTGCTGACAAAGATGGCAGCCATGGGGTCCAAGTCTGGATATCCCGGGCTTCGAGGACCAGGACGTTGCATTGGCACGCCGTCTCTTTCACGCTCATGTATGTTGTTGCAGCCTTGCCCAACCACGCTGTGGCTATCTTCATCTCCGGGCATGCGCCCCACCTCCACTCAGCGGACGATATCAAGACCGCCTTCTGGTCACTCCTGGATACCACCACCCAGGCCCTCGACCAGAAGTACCCGCACGCCAATGTCATTGGCATGCTGGACTGCATCGGTCGGGCCGGATCCATTCTGTGCGACGGTATTGGCCCTGCTCAGCCTGATGTCGAGAATTCCAATGGCGAGCTCCTTCGGAAGTTCGTCACCAGGCGGCATTTCTACCTGGTGAATACATTCTCTTCAGGCACTGGCCCAACATGGTGCTCTTCCCGGCGGACGTGGTCTAACATTGACTACTTGCTTGCGCGCCGCAGTCCCTCTATCCAGGTTAGTGGCTGCGCCGTCCGGTACGACATCGACCTTACCAAAAACTCCTCGCAGGATCAGTCTCCCGTGGTGGCGACGGTCTGCGTCAAACCTCCTGCTGAGCCCAGCGCGGCCGCTTCAGCTCCACGCTTTTAAATCAATATGGCTTCCGTCAGCGACCCAGTTGCCGCGCAGCGCTTCCAAGATGAGGTGTGGACGTACTCGCAGGAGCCCTCCGCTTCCATCGATGACCATTTAGCCAGCCTCAACATGTTCGTGCGGGCGGCAGCTCAAAGGCATTTTGGACTTGCACGCGATGCGCCCAGGAAGCCGTGGATCACGCAGCGCACGTGGTCCCTCATCAGCCAGATTGCTCCTGTACGGCGCCGACTCAATACTTCTCGTGGTGTGGAGTATGAGTGGACTCAACGTGCTATCCTTTCTGCGTGGCGCGCCACTGTTACACGTGAGCGACGTGGAGGCCTGCCCGATGGCATGCTGACTGTGTTCTATGGTTGCTCTCCTTGGGTGCGGCAGGGTGAAGGTATTGATGCCATGTACAAGGTACGTCAGTGCCAGTGGTATGAAGCGTGCCTCCAGTCTCATATTCGCTGGCTGCAACACGCGGCGAAGCCATTCTTAGAGGCTGATCGCCGTGCTCACTTGGGCGCGCTTGCCCTCCAAGCCGACCGCGCGATGGCATCCAACGACTCGCGCGCAGCATCTGCCGTCGTGCGTGCCATGAGTGGAGCCTCCCTCAAGTTCAGCAGCTCAGTGTACAAGCTTGACGGCGCCCTCGCGGCTTCTCCCGCCGAAACGGAGGCAAGGTGGGTAGAGCACTACTCTAGCGTCTTCCGGGTCCAGATCGTTGATGGCGCCCAGCTCATCGTTGACCCTGGCCCGCCCTTGCCGCCGGGAGAGCTCGACTTTGGACCTGTCGCGACCCAGGAGTCGTTTGCTGCACTGAAGAACAATAAGAGAGTAGGGCTGGACGACATTCCTGGTGAGGTGCTCAAGGCCGGAGGTTCGCCCATCGCTGCGCGCTACAGTGCCCAATCGGCGCATTGCCTCGGGCGCCACGTGGCCCGCGGCCTGGCGCGGCGGCTCTTTCACCAACGTGTACAAGAAGAAAGGTGACCATTACTGTTGCGACAACCATCGCTCGATTCTGCCGTCCGACCACGCTGGCAAAGCGCTCATTGGTCGCCTCAAGCAGGCCTTCGACCCTATTTACTTCGAGCGGATGCCCTCGTCGCAGCGCGGTGCGATTCCCGGCGAGGGCGCGGACCTTGCGCCCCACCTGGTGCGCTCTGCCGTGGCCGCCGCCGCCATGCTCAACATGTCGGTGTGCGTGCTTCTTGTCGATCTGGTCAAAGCGTTCGACAAGGTGGCGCGTCAACTGGTGTATGGCTGGGGGCCGGCACCGCCGGCTGACGGGGCCGCCTATTTGCGCAGTCTTGGCGTGCAGCCTCCCGCAGTAGAGTGGGTCCTGCGCTACCTTGATGAGCGAGGCCATCTTCTTCAGCAGTGGCGCGCTGATCCTTGTTGCTGCCGCTCTTGCCGAATCATCGCGCCGGGGGGCATGGTTCAAGCTTGGTGGCAGCCACCTTTCAGTTACCAGCAACACTGCAGGCAGGCATGGCTGCAATCTAGGCGCCTTTACCTTCAGCAGCGTGCACGGCATTGCCATGTACTTCCTGCGATGGGAGTTGCAAGAGGCCGGCATCGTCTTTCGACTTCGCGTCCCTGCTGGAGCTTTCTGGGCCGAGCCTGATGAGAACAACCATGACACCGAACCTGTCATAGACGCGGCCTTCGTCGATGATGAAGCCGTCGGTCTTTTGTCCACGTCAGCGGGCGCTCTCAACTCAGCGATCGAGGCGTTTCTTCGCATGTTGACTTCTGTGTTCAGTAAGCTTTACTTGGACATCAACTGGGCATCCGGGAAGACGGAAGCCTCGATAGCGTTGCGTGGTCACGGCGCAGTCCCTGCTCGCGGGCGGTGGCGGCAAGCTGATGGACGCCTACGCATTCCCGTCCCTAGCTCCGCCGATCTCTTCTTGAATGTTGTACCATCGTGCAAACATCTTGGCACGCTGATGTCCAGTGCCCCTGATACGTTTGCCAATGCTAAGCACCGGACTTCTTCAGCTATGGAGTCATGCGCCCCAGTTGTTTTCAAGTTGTATGGCAATCCGAACGTGTCTTGGCATCACAAGAAGAGTTTCCTACGTAGTCTTTTCTTGTCTCGTGAGCTCTTCAACGTGCACATTACTGTCCCGAGTGCCAGGGACATGGTCACTTACAACACCTGCTACATGCGCACTCTGCGCCGGATTGTGGGCGACACGCGATTCAGCAGCGACACTGAGCACACCGACATAGAAGTAAGGCGTCTGCTGGACATGCCGTCCGTCGATTGTTTGATATCTTGTGCACGCCTCGCGTACGTCAAGCGATTGCTCAGTCTTGCCCCGCGTGCTTTGCTTGGGCTGCTCCAGCTCCGGCGCGGTGAGCGCAGGCTCCCGTGGGTGCGCCAGCTTGCTCAAGATTGCAATTCGCTCCGGGATCGCGGCCTCGTTCCTGACACCCTTCCGCCGTTTTTTGATGATCCTGACGGCTGGCACCAATTCATCCTCTCCTCTAGCTGGTCAGACGCTCACGAATCCTTTCACTATTTTGAGAGTGCAACTGACCGTGTACAGAATGCTCAGCCTGCAGATGGCGAGCGTCAGTTGGCTCATAAATGCCACCGATACCAGCGCTCCTTCGCACCGAAGCGTGCGCTAGACTCGCAGGCCCGCGCCAAGCACGGCGACCGCCTGCTCATACCTTGTAAGGTCGCCGCCAGCACTTGCCCGTGCTGCGGCACTGACTTCAGAGATCGCCTGCGGCTCATAGCTCCTTCATCCGACCGTAGACGGCCCAAGTGCCAAGACTGGATCCTCGCACACTGTTCCGCGTTGTCGAGCGAATGTATAGCTGCACTCGACAAGGAGGGTCGTGCCGCTCGCACTGCTGGGCAGCGGGCTGGGCGCACTCACCCCTTGGCCCAGCTTCCTGCTCGCCGCGCCAGCGGTGCCATTGTTGGGCGCATCGGTGCCTGACGTGGCCCGCGCGTGCGCGCCACGACCCGGCAGCGCAGCTATCCCACTATATGGGACAACGTGCGCGCCGAGCGGTTATCCCACTATATGGGATAACGATTTGTTCGCATCTGGAGACTGTCATGCCCCTGCCAAAAAGTATTATGTTTATGTGTATATGCATATACATATATGTATCTACATACGCATATATGCATGTATGTGTGCATGTATGTATGCATGCATGCATGCATGCATGCATGCATGCATGCATGCTGTCTGTATGTCTGTATGTCTGTAGGTCTGTATGTCTGTATGTATGCATGTCTGTCTGTCTGTCTGTCTGTCTGTCTGTCTGTCTGTCTGTCTGTCTGTCTGTCGGTTTGTCTGTCGGTTTGTTTGTCTGTATGTATGTATGTATGCATGCATGTATGTATGTATGCATGCATGCATGCATGCATGTCTGTCTGTCTGTCTGTCTGTATGTATGTATGTATGTATGTATGTATGCATGTATGTATGTATGTATGTATGTATGTATGTATATATGTATGTATGTATGTATGTATGTATGTAGGTAGGTAGGTAGGTAGGTAGGTAGGTAGGCAGGTATGTATGTATGTATGTATGTATGTATGCATTCATGTATGCATTCATGTGCGTGTATGTATGTACACACCACCTTCGGGCCCTGGGGTCCCCATTTCCCCCAGACCCCACACCCCCTGAGGGCCACGCCCCCTCCCCGAGAGCCTGGGGCCGCTGTTGTGAGGGCTCCCGGGGGGGCTGTCGGAGACTGGCCTCCGACATGCTTCGGGAGTCCTCCTCCTTCTCCTCCTCCTCCTCCTCCTCCTCATCCTCCTCCGCCTCCCCGTCCTCCCCTTCCTGCCTCCTCTCCTCTCCCTCCTCCTCCTCCTCCCCCTCCTCCTCCCTCCTTCTCTCTCCTTCTCCTCCTCCTCCTCCTCCTCCTCCTCCTCTCCTCCTCCTCCCCTCCTCCTCCCCCATCCTCCCCCTGCTCCTCCTCCTCCTCGATCCTCCTCCTCCTCCTTTTCTCCTCCCTCCTCCTCTCCCCTCCTCCTTCTCCTCCTCCTCCTCCTCCCCCTCCTCCTCCTCCTCCTCCTCCTCCTCCTCCTCCTCCTCTTCCTCCTACTCCTCCTAATGCCCAGAGGCCGCCAACAGCCCAGGACAGTCCAGGACGCTCCAAGGTGACTCCCAGGACGGCCCCAAGAGGCCACAGGATGCCTCGATCTCAAGAGAGGTCCCAAGAGATGCCCCGGAAGGCCAAAGTCAGGGGAAAGCCTTGATGCACTTCAGCGCGTCTTGGTTACGGGACAGTACACGGGAGAGCATACAGCTGATCACACGGGAGACCATATGTCAGCGGCGAGCGAGCGAGGGGGAAGTGAGAAGGAGGAGGACTTCTCGGAAGGCTCGGAAGTCCCCCGGCCTTCTGAGAAGTTTTCGGGGCCTTCCCCCCGAAGACAGAAAAATAAAACAACCTCTCAGAAGGCGCCAGGGCTTCGGAGGAGCCCCGCCGCGTTCTGAAGAGGGCCTCCTTCTTTGCACTTCCCCCCCGCTCTCTCGCCGCCGAATCCTGGAGACCACGCGGGAGACCACGCGGGAGGCTACGCGAGAGACCGTGCGGGAGACCGTGCGGGAGACCGTGCGGGAGAGCATCAACAAAAGTCACCGATTTTGGGGCTGGCCCCGCCCCCCCCCCCGCCCCCAGCGTGTCTTACGTGCCAGGTGTAGAATTCTTAGACACAAGTTGTTGCGGGACGCTTTTCGGCGGCGAGGCAGAGTCGAAGAGGAACAAAACGCTATAAGCATCTACTTTTTGGCGATCCGCGTGGATTTCTCGGATCTGCGCTGGGCCCCCCTGGCGGCGCCTCCGGCGCCGCCCCTGGCGCGCTTCGCGCGCCAGGGAGGGAGGTCGAGCGCAGATCCAAAAAGTTCGCGCGGAGCGCCAAAAGTTTCTGATCAGAGCGTTTTTTGTTGTTGTTGTTGTTGTTGTTGTTGTTGTTGTTGTTGTTGTTGTTGTTGTTGTTGTTCTTCTTCTTCTTCTTCTACAGAGGCGGTCCGCTCCAGCGTGTGGCAATTCGGGGAGACCGAATGGCTCATTGGCCGGCATGCAAGAGAGGGACAAGGACGAGGGCGGCCGCGCGGGGGGAGGGGGAGGAAAGAGCGCTCAGACGTGGAAGCGTTCCGCGTCGAGCGGGCCGGAGCGGCCAGCCGTGGCAGCGGTGACCGCGGCAGCAGCCAGGCCGAGGGCGGGAGGGAGAGAAGCACGCAGACGCAAATCAGCGTCGATTCCCAGGAAAGTGTGGAGCATATGGGAAGTGGAGGAAAAAGACTAACCTCCGGGAAATCGGGGAAATACGAGGAATCCTGTGATTGGTGTCTTTTTTTATGTGTGTGTGTGTGTGTGTGTGTGTGTCCTGAAGCTCTGTCGACATGCTGTTTCGGAGGTTCATGTGTTTTTTTTGCTCGGCGCTGGGCCCCCCTCCCTGGCACGCGAGGCGCGCCAGGGGCGGCGTCGACCGAAGGGTCCACCGCCGACCTCCGAGAGATTAGGTCTATGCCGTCCTGGGGAGCCTCCAATCAGGCGATCGCAAACATGGATCAAGGGGGCGTGGATTAGCGACGGGTCCCGTTTCCATGGGAACTCGCGGATTTCTGCCGCCGGACGAGGCGGCACCGGACGCATTTTGGGGAGGGCACCTCCCCCGATCCATGGATTTCGCGACCGCGCGCAAAGTCCATGGACCGCTAACCCATGTTTGCGCGCCCCCGATCCAGGGCGGCCCCACGAGATCCCGAGAGGGCCCCAGGTGACCTCAGGTGACGCCAGAGGGCTCCGTGGCCGTCTTGCCCCGAGACTCGCGCGCCCCCCTGCACTCGGGAGGGGGGCCAGTGGAGACAGCCGGGGCTCTCCCGCCGGGCCGGGCCCCGACGCAGGTCGGCATCGGCCCCCGGGACCCCTCCCCACAGGTCCATGCCGGCGGGGTCTTCGGGGCGGGCCCAGCCGTGGCGGCGAGGAGCCCACCTGGGGCCCCCAAAGAGGGCGGCAGGCGCCAGGGGCGGCTGCCGTTGTGTCCAGTGCTGGTCAGAATTCGAGGAGGACCTGTGGACAAAAACACAGTGGAATAAAAACACACTGTGGAGAAAATGCACGATTGTGGAAAAGCACAGGCTTCACAGACGTTGTTTCCATTGTTGGTCAGGGTTTCGAGGAGGATCCAGCTGTGGAGGCGAACGGCCCGCTGGAGACCCCTAAGAACGCAGCATGCACCAACAAGGCGTCGGCCCTCGAACCTCCTGCGATGACATCGGCTCCCCCTCCAGGGCCCACTTCGACCCGATCGGTCCGATTCGATGCCCAGTTCACCCAGCTCGATCTGATTCGATCTCGATTTCCTGGCGATCCGATGCGGCCCGATGCTTGCACAGCGCAGGTGTGCATCCAGGCGCAGCCTTCCTCCTCCTCGATCCTCGATGATCCTCCTCTTTCTCCTCTTCCTCCTCCTCGTCCTCGATTATCCTCCTGTTTCTCCTCTTTCTCCTCTTTCTCCTCTTTCTCCTCTTCGATCCTCGATTATCCTCGATGATCCTTCCTCCTCCTCGATCCTCGAGTATCCTCCTCTTTCTCCTCTTCCTCCTCCTCGTTTCTCTTCCCCCATCCTCGATCCTCCTCGGCCCTCCTGCCTCCCCCGGGTTCTCTCTCCTCCCCCTCGATCCTCCTCCCACTCCTCCATCCTCCTCGATCCTCCTCCTGCTCCCCCTCCTTGGCCCTTGATCCTCCTCGCCCTCCTCGATTCTACTCGATCCTCCTCTTCCTCCTCTCGTGGGACGCGAAGGCGACGAAGCGGTGGCTACCGCCGAGCTGGAGCACGCTACGGCTGCTGGGCGCGTGAGCCTCGGACCCCTCCGCGGCCTCCACTGCTAGCTCCACGCCCTTGGCCCCTCCTCTTCCTCGATCCTCCTCCTGATCCTCCTCCTCCTCCTCCTCCTCCTCCTCCTCCTCCTTCCTCTCGATCCTCCTCCTCGATCCTCCTCCTCGATCCTCCTCCTCCCCCTGCTTCTCCTGCTCCTCCTCTTCCTCCTCTTCCTCCTCCTCGATCCTCCTCCTCCTCCTCCTTTTCCTCCTCCTTTTCCTCCTCCTCCTCCTCCTCCTCCTCCTCCTCCTCCTCCATCCTCCTCCTTGCGACTTCGTGCTTTCGAGATCTCCGCGTGCGTCGGCATGTCTGCTTCCCCGGCGGAAGGCGGCGGCAGGCGGCCAGCGGAAGGAGCGCGGGCAACACGAGGACGGCTGCGCCAGCGGAAGCCGGCGGGACCGAGAGGGGCCCTCGTCGGGGCCTAAGAGACAGGGGTCAGTGCAAACGGGGGTCAGCCAGGGCACTGGATCCTGCAGGATCCTGCGAAGACCCCCGCTGGCTGATCCGGGTTAGCGAGCCGCTCGTTGCCGCGAGGCGGTCGCACATATTGGCTGGCCCAGGTTTGCGAGGACCTGCGTTGCAGTTTTTGTTCTGTTCCTGCATTGCAGTTTTTCGGTTTCCTGCTGATCCGGGTCTGGATTGACCCGGGTCAGAAGAGTCCCGACTTCGATCGACTAGATTCTGGCCTCCTAGATGGGGTCCGACGAGTAGATGAGGTCGGAGGATCGCGCTGCATCGCCGAGGCATCGACGATGCGGCTCGATGCGGGGTCCGTATTTCCCCACGCCGACGTCGCCGACGCATCGCCGACGTCGCCGATGCCTCGCTGGTGCATCGCCGATGCATCGACGATGCAGTGGCGATGCGGCGCGATCCTCCGGCCACATCTACTCGGAGGAGGCCTCTATAGACTCGAGCAGTGGCGAAGCGTCTGGGCTTGCCCAAAGGCCCA